TGTCAGTCTTTTGTTGACATGCCCTACAGACGCTTAGGAGAAAAAGTGTCTTTGTTAAAGATCCACCCTCTTACCCTTTAATGATGGGCCCAGAGAGCCCATAAGCCACATCCCTAAGACCTCCAGCAGGTCATCCAGCAAAACCAGCGAAGACCGGGCTTGACATTCCCGATATTGCTAAGATGAAACAAAAAAGCAGATTTAAAAGAAATAAGCCGGGGCTTCTCTAGTCATTGTGAAGAAGCAAAGAGGTGGGGGGAGGGGATACACAACTTGATTTCCTTCGCCTTTGCGGGTCACAACTGTGTCTGTGCCAGAGAGCGCAGGGGAGTGTGAAAACCACACGCCGACACGCTGACTGTGTGGCTGATGCTGTGCAGGTGTGAACAGGAGTGGAGCAAATGAGCTGAGTGCAACAGGATGTGAACTGGGCGGGTGTGTATGTGTGTGAGTGTTGGCCCCCTCTGTCCCCCGAGAGGGAAGAAGGCACGTTTGCCTCTGTGGTGTTTGGCGTGGCTGGACTCAAAGTGGGTCAAAGTTGCCTGGAGAGGCTGGGAGGTTTCTTCTGGCTCCAGAACTTCCCCCGGGTGTGTAAAGGGGCCACAGAATCACAGGCAGAGTCAGTGCTCCTAGGCCGGAACTTTCCAGCCTGGAAACGTCTTGTCCCACAGTCTTGGAGACTGTGACCCTCAGCGTCCTAGTGAAGGCCAGCGAGCTGAGGAGATGCTATTATAAGGTTTGATCCTCAGATCCAGCTTAGTCCGATTCAGGACAAGACAAAGGTGGCTTTAAATGGCCTTTATATGCCCCAATCAAGGTCAGCTCACACCAGCTGGCAACGGCCCCTTATGACAACCCCAGATCCCACAGTGCTCCACTCATACTACCCATCCAGGTACTTACCTGTCCCCCATCTGAGTGCCTCACAATTGCCAGTGTATTGTCACCCCCTCCCCAGGAGGCAGATCAGTGCCGTTATCCCTGTTATACAGATGGACTGAGGCACAGGAAGGCCAAGTGACTTGCCCAAGGTCACACAGAGAGCGTGTGGGAGAACAGGAAACAGAGCCCAGGGTTCCCCAAGTCCCAGGCTAGCCCCATAACCCCAGGGCGAGCTCACCTTGTCACAGCTGGCCACTGAGGGCTGGAATTGGGCTGGCTGCCCAGTGCAGGCAGGGGCCTTCCCAGGAAATCCCAAGGGGGTCATGGGAGCCTTGTGCGGGGTGAGTCTCCCGCAGTGCTGGGGGAGCTGCCTGGAAGCAGACACCTAAGAGCAGAGCCAGGCCAGCTGTGGGTGGCTAGTTTGGTTCAGGCTGCCTCTGAGGCTGGGACACGTTTCCCATCTCTGGGGCAGCTTGTAGGTCAAGCTGCTTCGCTGTTGTTGTTCTCTCTGAAGCGGATGGAGCCCAGCCTGCCCCGTGCCTGACTCCAGCTCTCAGCCTTGGTTTTCACTCCCCTGTAACTGTCCCCTTCAGATCTGTCTGCACCAGACACTTGGAAAGCAGAGGGACCCCACCGTCCGGGCGTCAAGGGAAAGGCACCGAGAGCCGCGTGCCCTGCACATCCCAAGGGTTGCAACCTAGAGGTCACATACCTCTCCTGCTCAGCATGCACGAGGCTGGAGGCCCTGCAACTGGTGCACCCCCATCCCCTCTGGGACCTTGCAGAGCGATGAATGGGTCTGCTCAGGGTGACGCTGGTGACCGGCTCTGCAGAGAGATCGCATCACTTCATGGTCCGTGATAGCAAAGGCGCGGGGATATCCAGGCGTCAGCATGGGCACCAGACCATTGCTAGCAGGAGGCTCCAGCCAACGTCAGACCCAGGTGTGAATCCGCATTTCCTGCTCTATCACGCCCTGAAAGGATCCCAGGGAGCCACAGGGCTCAGCGTATCGCAGACGCACCTCACCACATCCTGCTCAGCTGTGACACAGTTCCGACAAGTCCTGGTGCCCGAGACGAGTCCTCGAGCTGGAACCCGACAGAGTATGAAACCTGAAAACAGCCTGGAGCTTCCCAGCATTAACCAACCTCAAACCCCTGGTTCAGGACAGACCACGGGGCTGCAAGCATCTCACAGAGCATGTCCCTCGACCTCTGAGCCTCGCATAACCCAAGCCCTTTCCCATCTCTGAGGCCAAGCTAGCTAGTCCATACCACTGGCTGGGACAGGAACGGGTCCAAAAAACCAACCAACAAACCAAGCCCACCACTGGCCAAGTGAAGCAAAAATGGCTGGCCAATCACAGTAGTCCCTTGCCCCCTGACAAGGTGCCCACCTGGGTGACTGGCCTGCCCGCCCAACCCTAGTCCCAGCCCTGGGGGGGGGGGTGTCATAAGAAAGGATAGAAAACTTATGGGAACAAATCTCTCAGCCCTGCTGTAGTGCAGAGGACTAGGGTAGTATCCCTTTAAATAGTGTGTGAGCCCTGTAGTGGTGCACACTGTGCTCTATGTTTTAGAGTACATGTAGCTCGGCCTGATGTGTTTGATGGCTATTTGGGACCCAATGATGCCAGTGTGGGTTCTTCGTATTATTTGTGTGTAAAGAGCAAAAGATACAACCCGTCCCTCCAGGAGACACCTCTTCCTCTCCATGCCAACTAAACATTCCTGTGAGCACAATCATAGAATCATAGAATCATAGAATATCAGGGTTGGAAGGGACCTCAGGAGGTATCTAGTCCAACCCCCTGCTCAAGGCAGGACCAACCCTAACTAAATCATCCCAGCCAGGGCTTTGTCAAACCGGGCCTTAAAAACCTCTAAGGAAAGAGATTCCACCACCTCCCTAGGGAACCCATTCCAGTGCTTCACCACCCTCCTCGTGAAATAATGTTTCCTAATATCCTAATTATAGGCCTGTCAACCTGACATTGATCCTGAGCAAGATAATGGAGTGACTGACATAGGACTCTGTTAATAAAGAACTAAAGGAGGGTGATGTAAGTAATGCAAATCAACATGGATTTATGGAAAATAGATGCTGTCCAACTAATTTGATATCTTTTTTTGGATGCGTTTAGAAGTTTGGTAGATAAAGGTAAGAGTGTTGACATAATATACTTAGACTTCTGTAAGGCATTTGACTTGGTACTGCATGACATTTTGATTAAAAAAATAGAATATAAAATTAACATGGCATACATTAAATGGAATAAAAACTGGCTAACTGATAGGGCTCAAAATGAAATGGTCAAACAGGCCTGTTTCCAGTGGGGCCCCACAGGGATCAGTTCTTGGCCCTGTGCTGTTTAACATTTTTGTCAGTGACCTGGAGGAAAACATAAAATCATCACTGAAATTTTGCAGATGACACAAAAATTGGGGGAGTGGTAGATAATGAAGAAGCCAGGCCACTGATTCAGAGTGATCTGGATTGCTTGCTAAGTTGGGCGCAAGCAAACAATGTGTGTTTTAATGTGGCAAATGTAAATGTGGACACCTAGGAACAAAGAATGCTTGGCATCCTTACAGGTGTCCAGTTCTGGTGCCCACAATTCAAGAAGGAGGCTGATAAATTGCAGAGGGTTCAGAGAAGAGCCAAGAGAATGATGAAAGGATTAGAAAACCTGCCTTCTAGTGAGAGACTCAAGGAGTTCAATCTCTTCACTTTAACAAAAAGAGAAGGTTAAGGGGTGACCCGATGACAGTCTGTAAGTAGCTACTTGGGGAACCAATATTTAATAATGGGCTCTTCTATCCAGCAGAGAGAGGTCTAACACCGTCCAATGGCTGGAAGTTGAAGCTAGATATATTCCAACTGGAAATAAGGTGCATATTTTTAATGGTTAGAGCAATTGACCAAGGATCATGGTGGAGTCTCCATCACTGACCATTTTTAAATCGAGATGGGATGATTTTCTATAAACTCTGCTCCAGGAATTATTTAGGGGCAGGTCTCTGGGCTGTGCTATACAGTAGGTCAGACTAGATGATCACAATGGTCCCTTCTGGCCTTGGAGTCCATGAGTTTGGAAGGGATCTAACCCCTCCTGCTTCAAGGCACAAACCGATCTGAAGCTGGGGTTAGATTATCCCTTACTTTACACTGTGGATTTCTTGCACCTTCTGAAGCCCCTAGTCCTGGCCACTGTTGAAGACAGGAGATTGACTGATCTAATTGATATATTAGGAACACAGGAATTGCTCTCTGAGATCAGACCATAGTTCAGTGTTCCTAATGTATCATCCACAGTAGCTGCAGCCCCACGAAGCCTGGCATAGGTGTCACCAATTTCTTCTTGGGTGGAATGAACACCCGCTGGAATGGACACCAAAGGGCAGGGGGGTGAATCTGTCTCTCCCTCCTAGGGTATTAAATGTGGTACCATTTAACCTTTCTCACCTGTGTGACAGCTGCCATCTTCAACACAGCGAGGGCTGACCTGGGGACGGCCAGAGCTAAAAGCACATTCTGCAACAGCTTGAGCTAACAAACCCACACACGGTAATGGTGTGTGTGTGTGTCACAACTCCTATCCTCTGCAGCTTGGCAGACGGGGACCTGTAACACACACTCCCTGGTGGATTGACATCTGATTTTACCTGCCAACACCCTGATCTTCCATCCGGGACTAAATCCTGCTTGCATGACTCCAGTGACTAAAGGCACTAAATCAAAGCAAAGCCGCTGTTGAGTGTCATATGAAGAATAAAATCCCATCCATGGCTGTGTTCAGGCAGCTTGGCAAAGTGGCCTTATATCCTAAGAAGCCAGCTCTGGCAGGATCGTCCTAGGGCAGAGGGATCTGCAGATGGTACACCACCAGGATAATAGCTTCGACGGCACCTCTTCCCGCACCCGCTCTTAATCTCTTATTCATATGAAAGCCTGGCTCATGAGAGACGCAGTATATCCCAGATGCCTCCTCTTTTTCCAGCCTTGCACAACTTGCATGCCGAGGGAAGAGTCCCTCTCTTTGTTCCAATGGATACATCCCCTCCCCCACCCAGCTCCATGTGATTTACAGGCACCGTTTTGTTTTCCTTGCGGCCTGTTGGCATGAAAGAACCGTGCTGAGTAACAGCTTGGACTGCTCAGCCCTTCACTTTGTTATTAATTCCTGAGCTTTGGCTGTGAGTTCCCTTTTTCTCCCATCCGCACAGCTCACCCTGTGACATCCGCTCTGGAAATTCCACTCTGCTTCCCTTTGTCTCTCTGCCTCTGGAGTTCCCTATAAAAGGAGAGAAGCCTCTTGCTGCTCAGTGTCACAGCTAGTCCCTGGTCCAGCTCCGCTCCTCCTCACCCAACAGCAACATGAAGGTCTCCGTGGCTGCCCTCGCCGTTCTCACCAGCGCTGCCTTCTGGTCCCTGGCCTCCTCTGGCCCAGGTGAGTCCAGCGTCTCTCGCTGAAATTGTCCATTTCTGAAGGAAACCGATTTATTGCTCTTTGGATGGTGGGGGGAGGAACCTTTCCCCTGATAACGTGTGTTATTTTCCCTTGCATGGAACTCAAGGCACACTCACGCTGTCTGTTTCCATCTTTCAGAGGGACCAGACATGCCCACTTCCTGCTGCTTCTCCTACATGGCCCGCCGGATCCCGCGCAGCATGGTGATGGATTACTATCACACCAGCAGCAAGTGCTCCTTACCCGCTATAGTGTAAGTGCAAACTCCCGACACCGGAGACAGGCAGCGAGCAGATGTGCAGAGACAGCTTCCATTTCAATACATGCTCCTGTTGCAAGCGTTACAGTGTAGTCATGCACTGCAATGGAATAGTTTGCTCTATGTCAGCGGTTCTCAAACTGTGGGTCGGGACCCCAAAGTGGGGTGTGATCCTGCTTTAACGGGGTGGCCAGGGTTGGCTTAAACTTGCTGGGGCCCGGGGCTAACGCCTGAGCCTCACCACCTGGGACCGTAGTCCAAGAGCTTCAGCCCTGGGTGGCAGGGCTCAGGATACAGCCCCCTGCCTCAGGCTGAAGCCCCATCCAGGGCCGTGGGGCTCGGGCTTTGGCGGGACTAGGGCGGGCTCAGGCTTCGTTGTCAGAAGGGGGTCGCAGTGCTACCCCCTGCTCTACGTCTACACAGCAGTTAAACACCCGCGGCGGCTGACTCGGGTTTGCAGGGCTCAGCTGTGGGGCTGTAAAATTGGGGTGTAGACATTCGGGCTCGGGGTACAGCCCCAGCTCTGGGATTCTGCGAGGCGAGAGGATCCCCGAGCTTGGGCTCCGGTCCAAGCCCGAATGTCTACACGGCAATGTTTAGCCCCACAACCCGAGCCCGGGTCAGACGACTCTTTTATTCCAGTGTAGACGTACCCTTGGTGTCTGGCTGCTGCTTCTCATTCCTAGCACGAGGCAAATCCAGGTGTCAAAGGCCTGAGGTCGGTGACTAGAGAGCCCAGCGCACCAGCACAGACTCTGAGAGCCAAGTATTCACAGCCGGGAGAAGAGGCCACCTAGAAGGGATTCCCCCATAGCTCCTCTAGGGTCCTGGGGTGGGACCTGCTCACCCCTGGGGATAATGGAGTGTGGGGGCGGGGCAGGAAGTGAGGCTGGGGGAGGGCAAACCACAGGAAGGCTTTAATATGTAGAACAGGCAGCCAAATGGGAGGAGGGGCAGGCCAGGTGGCCCAGACCAGCATCAAGTTCTGGTGGAGAATCCTTCGGGGACAGGGCAGAACTGACTGGCTGTGCTGGGATCTGGAAGTGGGGCGACCTAGGACGGTGAGGGAGAGACACAATGTTTCTCTCACTCTAACCTGTCTCCTTCCTGTCCCACAGGTTTATTACGAAGAAAAGCCGGTCCGTCTGTGCCAACCCCAGCCACTCCTGGGTCCAAGCCTATGTGAACACCTGGATCTGAACTGAGCAGAATGGGGGACAGAGAATTATTCCTATTTATTACGTGTATTACGGTAGCACTTCGCAGCCCCATTGTGCAAGATGCTGTAACACCGGACAAAGAGGTGATTCCTGAGCCCAAGTGCTGGCCATCTAAGGACAGAGTTCAAAGGGCACCGGAAGGACCTCGCCTCACTTCTGCTACCAACCCACTTTTCAAAGAACTGACAAACGCTGGACTTTGAACGTATCATGTGACGCTATTTAAGACGTGCAGTAGGGACCCCATTTTTTGTATTGCTAATTATATTATTTATGGCATGCGTGCAGGAGGTCAGATGACTCCCCGTGCATCGCAGTGACCGACACAAAAACACCCCAGGTTGTTGAATGTGTTCGGTTCTTTGTGCTGTAATATTAGGCGATGACCAGGGACTGGGTAGAGTGATGATTTTGGAAAATAAAATGTTTTGTAGAAAAACACCCTGGTTTTTGCCTTAATGTAATTACCGACTGGAAGGATCTCCAGGCCCAGACACATAATCTGACCACTGTGCCTGCCTGTCTCACTAGGAGGATCTGGAACAAACCCTACCAGCTCAGCACCACTAGAGTCTGGGGAAAATTTGGCCCCATTTGCAGTTCACAGCTCAGATCCATCCCTCACACACATCTACATCCAGCCCTGCATGCCCTGTCTACAGTACACCCAGCTACCCATTATGTACCTGCAAGAAACAAAAATAGTATATAGTTCCCACCTTTAAGTGGGAGGGCAAAGGGTTAAATCTCTTACCCTGAGCTGAGGACAGCAGCGGGTTTGCAGAGATTGCAGTGAGGGGATGAGCTCAGCTGGGTGAGGGGAGGAGAGCATGGGGGGCGGGGGGAGGAGGGGAGTCTGGAGTTGGGGAAGACCTGTGTGTGTGTGTGTGTGTGTGTGTGTGTGTTTTGTGTAGGGAATCTCCCTGGGAGCAGGGGTGTGTGTGTGTGTGTGTGTGTGTGTGTGTGTAGGATCTCCGTGGAGCGAGGGTGAGTGTGTGTGTGTGTGTGTGTGTGTAGTGT